CACTATTTGGCAACAAGAATGTTGTTTTACATTACACTTTGCCAAGCTGATCCTTACTGGGGCTTTCCAGTTTCTGGAGTGCTCAATCTCTCTGAATCCAGTGGAAGTTGTGCCAGGAGGTTATACAAGATGTGAAGTGCTAGAAATAGATTTTTCCCTCTACTTTCTCTGCTAGTTGAAGCCCAGCTTGATGTGTCAGAGATTTGCTTTCTCCTAAGAGCACAAATGTGTGATGGTTCCTACCCAAGACCCAAAGATTCTGCACAGCCCACCAGGTCAGATCCTGCTCTGCATGGCATTGGCATAAACCTGCATTAACTCAAGTGCCTGAATTAATCTGGGTTTACCCTCAGGTAAGAGAGACTGATATCTGACCCAGTGTGCTGAGTGAGATCCTTGGCCCGTGGCCAGTGGGTTGTAGGGAAGAATGAAAGACAGTTACCCTGGATTTACACTGGGTTATCTGAGATTAATACAGGCCTTAGTATTTACAGAGCACCTACTGTAACTGCAAAGAAAAAAATATGGCAAAGCCAACATGCTACAAGGCCTCTATGTGTCTTTCTTCTTCTAAAAAATCTTTTCATTGGGCTAGGTAATATAATAGGTTAATGAGCTAAATTGTTGCCTGAGGGACAGAAGTTTTATATTTAAACTTCCACCCACAGAGCTGAAAATGCCCCTTGTGAAAGTCAGAGCTAATGATGGAGCTTGTGTGTCTGGCTTGTAATTCCACCTTTCCTGATACAGCACCAGTGAAATGGAGAATAGTCAAAACTTGAAACTGGGAGTCCTGAACCATTCTGTGCTATTGGTTCCAAATACAGAACTTCAGTCAGGACAGAATTTGAGGCATGTGAAATAGAGAAACAATTAAATAAAACTGGAAATAAAGAAAAATCCATAAAAATTTTGTGGAGAATTGCTTCTGTTCTATAACCTCGCCTCCCCAGTTATACCTTAGAAGAGTCCAAAAGGCAACTGGAGGAAAGGAACTCAAAAATGTAGCCTTGGCCTGTAGAGAATTAAAGAATTATTAAGGTTGGGAAAGACCTCCAAGGTCAAGTCTAGCCTCTGACCAAACACCACCTTTCCCACCAAACCCTAGCACTGAGTGCCACGTCTGCTTGGTTTCTGAGCACCTCCAGGGATGGGGACTCCACCACTTCCCTGGAGAGCCTGTTCCAGTGCTTAACCACTCTTTCAGTGATGAACATTTTCCTAATATCCAACTGGAACCTCCCGTGTGCTATCTCTGGTTGTCTGGGAGAAGAGCCTGACCCTCATCTCAACACAAGCTGCTTTGAGGTGGTTGTGGAGAGCAAAAAGTCTCCCCTGAGCCATCTTCTCCTGCCACATCACTGCTGTAGCAGAAGGGAAGAGAGCTGAGGATGGGGGCAGCCTTGGGTGGCTAAAAAGCAGCCTCTGGTGCTGCTCACTTCCAAGCACAAGATCTGTGTCACCACCACAACTTGCCAACACCTCCAGCTCCCTGCATCATCTGGGACACGTTTCCAGTGACTCCAGTGCCAAATCCAAGTCCTGCAGCAGCCCCTTCCAGCACAGCCTGGGGCAGGGAATGGTGTGGAGCTGGGCTGTGTGTCCTCTCAGCTCCCCAGAGAGCCACACACATAAAGACACACTGTTCTTGCAGGAATGTAATCCTCGATGTAAAGTTTGTCAGCAAAAATATAATTCACCACGAAAGAATGGACTACTGTCTTGCTAAAGCATCAAAAGGCACATTTTCAGCAGTCTGGGAGTCTGAGGCAGTGTTGGGAAACTGAGCAACCTGTGTTTGTTCCTCTGACCAGCACAACTACAACAAAAATGTAAAAATGCTTCAGGTGCTAGAACATTTAACAGCTCAGATTTCAAACAAGGAGGAACTATTTCAAAGCAGAACGAGTGTATGAGATGTTTGTTTCTTTAACTGAATGCAAACTGGATGTGGAATTTCCTCTTGGAAGAAACGACTGAATGGGAGATGGCTTGGACTCCCTTTTGTATATTGCATCATGTACAAAAAAGGATGATATAATGAATTGCAATTCTGAAGAATCCAGGCAAAAATAAAATAAGGATTTCAGGTTAACACCTTCAGTGGGTCTTGCATTGTGCAATTCATGTTTCTACTAGGTTTGAAGACTCTGGGGCCAGGAACAGTTTAGTTATGAAACTTGTATCACTCATGCTGAGTTAAATGCAAAAAATAGTGCTTATATCCCTTTAAGATAATGGGTTTAAAAGAGAAGTGGCAGCAGTGTAGCGAAGCTGCAAGTTTAGTAACAGTGGTAACAGAGCAACTCTCTGTCTTTGGAATTCCAGTACAGTCTGTTAATCTCAAGCACTGGGCTAACAAAGGCAAACTCAGAGCCATTTAAAATAACTTTACAAACTTGGCCTTATGTCTTTGCAAAGTGAACCAGATATATCAGTTTCTTGTGCAACACTTGAAACATGCTGCAAATATATTAAGAATATACAAACATGACAATTAGCTCCAAATGCTTTCCAAAAGCTACAGGACACAGCAAGGAACAGCTGCAAATAAACCTGACAGAAAATGGGATAAAATCCCTCTTCTTTCAGGCATGGATAATGGCTACAGAGCTGTTGCTAAGGTCAGTGGATGAGGTTTGGCTGGTGGGTGCAGGTCTCAGATCAGCAAGGCCTCATCTCCAGCCCTCACCTCTTCTACATGAGAGATGAGAACTTCAATTTGTCTGGGGTAGGTGTGGAGGTTTCACTGCTGCTGGGAGCTCCTTATGCCCAGAGTCTGTGTATTCTACAAATACTGCCACTACTAACACAAAAATAACACTGTCATACCACCCAAATAGCCTGCTCTATTTACAAGTTGTATCTGGACTTGACTTTTTAAATGAGGTTTTCCCTCTCTCTTGCACGACTTCCCAGCATCTTCAAAGAGGATATTGGTTTGGGAAATTAAGTGGCCAAGTCACCAGGCAAGCTGTTTGCACATAAAGCATCAAGGGCCATTATTTTAATCTGTGATAATTACCACAGTTAGTTAAATCATGCTTCCCTGATGGTTCTCAACAATAAGCAACAAATGCACAACACATTAATTGCACAAAGTTGCTGCTTGTTCTGAGATCAATTTGTATTAACAGAAAAAGTTTCCATCTTAGTCAGCAAAGCTCTCTCACAGTGACTTTTACAGGGCTGGGAACAAATGTTTTACAGTGGAATTTTGCCCTGGAAGGATGAATTTTAAAGAGTCCACTATAAGCTAATGGCTACAGACTTTGTGCTTGTCCTTAAAGGAGGAATTGTTTTAAGCCAGAGCAACTGATAGCTGTAAAGACTCCTCTCCTAAATCCAAGCCCTGTATTGAAGCTTCTGGATCCTCATGATGAAAATCCTTCACTCAGGAATTGTGAAGAACTGAATTCCACTTTAAACATTTCAGCTATTTGGGTTTCTGGAACAATACATTTTCTTCTAGGAACTGTACCTACCCTTTTCTAGCAAGCTCTACCCCTCTACTCAGAGAACAAGAATCTAATTGTGTGACCTAAGTGTCCGGTCAGAATTAACCAATGTGTCTAGAATTTGAAATGCTCCTTACAAACCAAATCTAAGTCCAAGAACATCCTGCTGGACTCACACAGGGTGAAATTCCTGGGAAGCAGAGCACTGGCACAAGCTCCCTGCAGACAGAAGCAGGCCATATATGCAGCACACAAGCTTTTGTGCCCTCCTGCACAGGGATGATCCTGATCCTGAGTTAAGAATCACAAATAACAAGTGATTTTGCACTGATCCTGCCCTGCTCACATGCACACATTAAACCCATCAAACAACACTGTTTACTGTGACCCGTGTAAGACTGCAGTCCTCCCAGCAGTGAGCCAACATCTTTATCAGATTGGAACTGTTCACACAACACTGAACTTTCAATCCACGTAATCTGTGAATACACAATTATTTCATATTCCTCCCTATCAAGAGAACCTGGGTCCATTTGCATGCCAAAATGTTTTAGTGTTCCATAAATAAATAAATAAATAAATAAATAAATAATGTTATTTCACCTGTTAACACACGGGGACTGTTTGTTTTGGCCAGCTTGCATGGACTCTGAGTGCCAGGTTATGAATAAAATAATGTTCAATACTGTAAACATCTTGTGACATAAATTCCTGGCTCAGCATAAATACAGACACTCTGTATGTGGCAGGTTCTTCCTGCATTCTCCAGCACTGACACCACTAAATTCGTGTATCTATGACAGAGTATATACATAACTGCAATTCCTTAAAAAAAAAGAAGCAATCACAGATAAGCCAATTTGCCCATCCTGGGCCTCTGCTTCACTGGATTTTGCTTGCTGGAGTTTGGGTTTTTGGAAAGCAAAGTGCAACTACTGTATCCCAGTGGTTTCTGCACATGCCGTACATTCCAGAACAGAAAGTAGGTTTTCTGTTTAAAGAACAGCACAGTTAGACAGATAAGATAAAACCAAACTGGAATATAATATTGCTGGCAATTTTTAGTCCTTTATGCAAACACAAAGTCAGTAATGTAAAGGATGCTTTCTGAACAACACTGGCAAGGGCTGAGTTTCTCACACTGCCAGGCCTCCTTCCCAAGCAAAACCTCATATTACTTTAAGATCAGAATGCAAATACAGAGCACACTCTGATCTGGTTTAATCCACAGCATTCAGGAATTAATTCCACTGATGTCACTGGAGAAACAAAGTTCAGACAGGCCTAAGTGAAGGTAAGTCCCTGAGGAAGGGACTGAGGTTTTAGCTCTGTCTTTAAACTCCAGCCTTTCTTTCATTTCGGTTGGCTGGAATGAGTCTAGGATTGGACAACAAGTGTAGATCCCACACTACCCTGAAAACCACTTAAACCTTTGCTTCCTAAAGATTTAAACTGCAAATGAATGCAGACAGCAGACAGGAGCTCAGCACCCTGAATATCTTTGCTCTCAGAAAGAAAACAGCACGAGCTGTTTGCTGTTACCTTGGACCAGTCTCCCGTTTTCCACTCGTAGCAGCCTGTGTGATCCTCGCACTCCTCCTCGTCTCTCGGCCTGGTGGCTGCATCACATTTCCCTTGGGAGTTTGTGCACGTCACTGTTCTTTTCTGAATTCCCCTGCCACAGTCTGCTGAGCACTGCAAAAAAACAGGGGTTTGGTTTTTTGTTACATGGTGCTTAGAAATGATGGCTTTTATGTTGGTAACACAGCTCAGAGGAAAAGCTGGGGTTATGAACACTGAGGAAAATGATAATCCATAAGGTTTTATTACAATAATCTAAGCCACTCATACATGAGTAATTTGGACTGCTTGTGAAATATTTTACTTATGAAAAATGGCAATTCTGAAAATCAACCTTCTTTGAAAAATGTCAGCTGGCCTTTTGCTAAAATTGGTGCCACTAAATCTCGTGTTGAAGAACTCCTCATTCATACTGAAGAACACACTGAGATTCACTACACAGAACTGCCACATCCCTTGATGTATCATGGACCACATCAAGGGTGATAAATGGTGGTGTGAAATGTCATTTTAAATCACAGCAGCGTGAGACCACTGTTATAAACACGTTTCTGTAGTACAGTTTGTGCATATCATGGCAAAGTCACAATTCTCACACCTTCTCATGTGAAACACACACATCACGTTCACATTTTGATTTGCCATCACTATCCTAACTCTGGAAAACTCAAACAAATATTTACTGGGTGAGCACAAATTATCCACAATGTTTTTGTGCCTGGGCTCTATGGGATTAGCTTCTAAAGAGCAGGGATATCTGGTCACTCATTTGCTATCTTTGCCAATGGCTGGAAATTCTTGTTTAATGAAGAATTTTTCTTGATTTTCTTGGTTGTATGAGGTGGGAAAAGGACACTGGCACAAACTGAATCCAAATTTCTGTTTTCAATAACCAGTTTGGTAACAGAGCACCTGCTGTCACAGCCACCTGAGACTTTGTCACCATCCCTGAGCACAGCCAGTGTGCCTGCTCCTCATTCTCATGCCACTGCAGTGGTTAAGAGTGAGAAATTGCCTTGCAGAGCCACTGGGGACAGGTGGGTGGAGAAATGATCTATGTACCAGCAGAGATAAAAACTAACCTCCTCTGGCATGTCAAGTTCTCCCCTTCAGGGGGCCAGCAGGGAAAAGACAGTTGATTTGACACTGAATAAATAGTGCAGATATGAGATATTCTGTGAGGTCTTTTGAACGTGTTCCAAGAAGCTTCTCCATCCAGGGGGTCTATGCTGGAAACAAGCATCAGCTTGATATAAATTACATCAAATGGACAAATCTCAGCATGCCTGTCTAACTGTCTTAAAAACACAATCCAGGCAGTTCTGACCTGCTGGCCTTGTTAAGGACATGAATGACAAGCGTTTATGAGCTGGCAAGCAAACAGACATGCCTTTAAATACTTCACAGCACTACAAAGTGACTTCTTGAAAATCTGGGAAACCTTCCACTTAATTTACTGTGTGCTGCTCACGGCGTGACCCCTTACGGATGTAACATCTTTGTAAGGAGCACAATCTATAGTTCTGCTAAGACAGGGGGGTGAATTCCTCCCAGCTTTGCAGAATTCCACAAAATGCTTTGCTGGACTGCTCAGAGAGCAAGGCTTGCCAGAGATCCCAGGCTGGAGCTCCCTAAATGGTACCTCAAATCCATGAATTTGCCCCAAGTTGGGTAGACTTTCCCAAATTATGTATCATTTTCCTCAGGCCCCAGGGTGGACTCCTCAGGGTTGCACTCGTTCCTCTCAAACTACAAAGCTCAATATATAAAAATCTTTGGAATGGTCCAATTTACTCAAAGTAAATCAAGCTGAAGTGGGAGTATTTTTCACAGTAGGAGAAATCTCTAGGTGGGTTTTACAAGCAAGTCTGGGAAAAACACCAACTGTTTGTTCTTCCCACAGCTTTTAAGTCATTCACAGATTAATACTGCATATCCTTTCCTAGACAAAACAGCATGAGCAAGAAGGTTTCCAACAGATCTTTGGTGGTCACATATAAATCACCCTCTTTAAGAGGTTTTTTTCCTTTCCTCAAGTCATCTGTTTTCATGAAGAATTTCTTAATACATAGATTTTACAAAGAGTCCACAAATTAATAGACACAGTTTCTGTGTGTCCACTCAAGATCATTAAGTCTTATTTTATTGACAAATTACTTTGTCAGATCCCATGAGGCTTTGCAAAGGAGCAACACAACTTTGCAGTTAAGACACAACTCCTTTATCTGAAGGAAATCCATATTTTTTTCCACTCTATTTCTCTAACAGTAGAAACATTCACCTTCTCCTGACAGCCTCTATTTTTATCATTAAAAATGGGTTGAGCAGTACTTTGTCCAAAACAATCTCAAGTGTTTGGCAACACAAGGGGAACTCAATTTTTTCCATGATGAAGATTACATTGGAATTTGCTGTGAAAACACACATTTTTGACCAGGGACCAGACATCAGTGCAGTCAACTGTGTTGCATGAGCAAGAAGTTAAAAAAATAGATCAGAAAATAGATTTATAAAATGATACAATTTCAGTGATATTTATTCCTCAACATCAGATTAGAATGCTAAGGAATAAAGTGATTACCACTGAAGAAAGTCCTAGGTGTGAGAAGAATTCACACAGGCAGAGCATCAAATGTGTGCTGAAGTCAACTGAGCTTCATAACAGCAGAAATGGGCCAGAATAACAAATTTTAAATCACAAGTGCACAGTTAAAGACCCAACAAAAGTAAATAAATGTATCAAAGGAAAAGTAAACCTGCTATTGAAAAAAATATCTAAAAATGCTATGTATTTGTAAAGGAGTTACGTGGTCATGGATATGGAAGATTTCCACTGATCTGTAACTTACTCTATTCCATAAAAGGGAGACAGAAGTACCTGGGATTGTTAACAAAAGACTCAAGTAAAAAATCCACATGTAAACCAGGTAGGAATTGCACCCTAATCTCAGCTATAAACAGTTCAGCTGGTTTAGCTATAAGAAATAAAGAGGGCATCATCTGAAAGGGGAATGTCTACAACACACAAAAGACCTACCAGACAACTTACTAAAACCTTGGTGTGTTTGTGCACGTCTTTTGTAACAAAAGAACTCAGAAAGAACACGAATCTCATGCACCAGTGAAGGATCCAGCACCCCACTGAAAGGGAACACTGCTCTCACTTAACCATCACCTCTCTTGCCAAACTAAGATTTCCTGTCCAGGAGGTGCACAATAAATCCCATTGTGTTTGTGAGGAGGCACTGCTCCTCAGGATCCCTTCTGTCCTAAGCTTTGTGACTTTTAAGCACATTTCTAACAATAATATCTAGCAAAAGCTCTTTGACAATGTTTTAAACAGGAGCTCCCTGTTCCAGAGGTGAATAATGAGGAATCCTTCCCACAGGAAGGGCTGGTGCTGGACAGCCAGGCTGGAATGAGGCTGGTATGAGCTGGAGCCCTGCAGCCAGAGTGAAAGGAGCTCATCACTCAGGTGAGCCCAGCAAACAATATCAAAGTGAACATGGGCATCCTGTAAGGACTGCTGCTCACAGGGTACAGCAAAGATGCCCTGTACTGGCTGAGTGCTGGTCATGAACTGCAGGCACACTCCCAGACCACTCAGCTGCTAAACAAAACACAGGGTAACTGTATAGTTCTCCCATTATTTACATCAGAAATACATTCATAACACTTGGGAAAAAAAATTATTAACTCTGCAACTACTCTTAGATGCATCTTTTACACAAAATATAATCAGCTTTTTCTTCTACCTGGAATTACACCAAAGAAGGCTGGATAGGGCCCAAAGCCTGCCCATTTTCTGTAACATGCAGATGCCTGATAAGCCTGGTATTTCTTCACACCACATTTAAACGGAGCCAGAAGCCCTGGGTTACTGCACTTCTGGCCTCAGGTCAGTGAAACATTTTTTCTTCTTGGTCAGAGTTTTCAGCTGGAAAGATACAGTCAGTAGAGCATATCTAAACCCTGCCTTGTTAACTCATCTGGTCTGGAAACCAAATCTGAGCTCCTCACTGCTCATCTCAACAGATGAGAGTACTCCAGTGCTGTGAGGATGCTGACCATGAGAAGCATGGATAAAGGCCAGTGTATCCAGAGCTCTGAGCAGTCTGGCTCCTTTCTGGAGTGAAGTTCCTACCTTGGACCACTCTGATGCTTCCCAGATGGACAGGCAGTCCCTTCCCTCACAGCTCTGCAGCGTGGCTGGTTTGCTGCCCAGGCAGTAGAGGTCCCTGGTGTTGACGTAGGTGCCGTTCTGCAGCTGATAAACACAAGTGACCTCCCGGTGCTGCACACCCTTCTCACACGTGGCAGAGCAGGGACTCCAGTGGCCAGTCACCCACCTGGGAAGGAGCCAGAGGATAGATGTTAGCAAACTGTTGGAATAAAACATGATGCTTCACTTAAAGCCAGTGAGAAATGGGCAGCTCTTCCTGGGTCTGTGGGTGCTTTGATGGTGCCGTGCTGTTGTCACCCTGAGCTCACTGATCCCCTCTGGGAGCTGAAGTGTGTAAAGCAGCAGTGTCAGTATGCAGGGGAATATTCCCTCCTGACTCCATATCAGGCAAAACCCCAAACTCTGCATCACTCCCTTTAACCCCACTCTCTGCAGTGGAGCTGGTTTTTTCTTTCAGATAGAGACAGACTTGTCTGCAGACCATCCTGCAAGACCATTCCTTGCAAGAGAGGAGGAATCCTCCCCGCTCTGTCTTCCACTGACTCCAGCAAGTGCTGGAAGCACCACAGTGGGGCTACAAGGCAGTGAATAAAATGTTTAAGAAAGACCTGAAGGAGGAGGGATGGAGGGGAGGGCATTTTTTTCCAAAAGAAAAGCAGCATCGATCTTTAGCTTCCTGCAATCTGTCAGTGAGAGCATGTTCTCTGTAATTACAGGCATTCCTGGGTGGAGTGAGGGACTGGAGCAATAACTGCAGCCACTGAGCACCAGAAGGCTCTCATGCCTTTCTCACCAGGCAATTGACCTTCTGGCCTGTTATTCAGCACTGTCATCCAGATCTGGATCCTTACACCATGAATCTTTTACTTGTCACCCAGTCCTGGGCTGTCTATTATGGTAGTGGTCCAAACAAGACTTCTCAAAAATCTGAGAAATACTATTTCATTCTGCTGGAGACTCCTGTAATCTAGGTAGAGCAACTTCTTTACCATATTTCTTTTGAAAGTGTTGTGTGCTACTTCTCTGAAATGAATTAAAAAACTGTTTGCCATTTTCCCATTCCTGAAGGGGGGAAAATCAGCTCAGCACCATTTGTAGAAACATCTTCACCTGCTGCAATTGTCATGAATTAATTTGTGAATGCCATGACTGGCGTGACAGCACTGATGACTGTGCTGACAGGGCAGGCAGAAGCCATTTGGTTTGAGCAGGACTGGGCAGCCTGGCCACCTGTCTTTTGTGGAACAGGACTCTGCTCAAATGTTCCTGTGCATTAAAGCAGTTGACTGACACATCTGTGAATTTCTGTTGGCTAAAACAGCTGCTGAGACACCAAACCTGTTTCTCCAGACTGCAGTTTTGGTGCATCTCCGTGGCCCAGGGCTTGGTATTTCTCCTATGGAATGGGAAAATGTCAGCTGGGAAATTGAATACTAGGGCTGAAAGACTGACAAAAATAGCCCTGAAGTGCAGAAATCAGTGTTGATGAAAATTAATAGCCAGGCCTCCTTGGTATCAGCTGGGATCTGCCCTGCTGGAGCAAACGTGAGGGAATTATCCACCTGGGGGAAGGAACCCCCTGACAAAGGCTGGAGGGGCAGAAATGGCTGTGCTTTATGAGCTGAGTGTGAGTCACAAGGCTGGGAAAGGGCTCTGCCCAGGCTCCACTCAGCTAATATTCACTTCAGCACTGTGTTCTCACTGTGATCTACAGCTCATGGCAGAAGAAAAAGGGAAAGGGGCTGAAAGCAAAGGAGAAAGATAAAAATACATTCTTGGCAGAGGCTGGCTGTGAGCTTGCACTTAGGATGGGCAGCAAACAGCATGCCAACTATTTCCAAGATGCCTTAAGAAGAAAGGTTATGGTTTTCCCTTTAGGAAGGACAATTCCTTTCTAATTTTTTTTTGTTTGTTGCTCTTTTGCAGGGGAGAAATCACCTCTTTCCACCCTGTTTGCTGGTCTCTAGTCAGTACCAGCAAAGACGTGACAGAGTGCAGCTAGAAAATTAGCACAGAAAAAACAAATATTACCATCATCATGAGAAGAATGATTGCATAGGGAACGAGCTGGAACCCAGGGTACCAAAACAAAGATGTGTCTGTGGTGAAAACAATCTCCAGTTTATCCCTTGGAAAGATCTTCAGCCACCATTCACTACATCCACTCCTGATCCCAACCCTGTGGTTATACCAACCAGGTGGGGCAATGCTGTAAGGGATCTCTGAAACCTCACAGTCTACTCTGCCCTGCCTGCGACCATCAAAATACTTAGAAATTAAAGGCTCTTCTAAAAGAAGTGGTGGTTTTACTTTCACATCCAGGAGACAAGTGATATTAAATGTCTAAATAATAGGAATATGTAAAGTAGGTTATTTTCAAAAACACCAAGGGGATGATCACTTTGACCACTAAACTTCATCCTCTCAGTGAAATCTATGCTTGAATCAATGACTTGTAAAAACAATCAGGCAAACAAGTAAAGGTGAGTCCTACCTAGAGTCCTGGCAGTGCCCTAAACCCCCACAGTTCCCCCAAATTTTCTTTCAAAGGCAGCTGAGAATATTGTTTTAGTGCCTGTGACACACAGGAACACTGCAACTATATTTCAACAATGTTCATAACCAATGTGGAAAGACAAAGGATATATGGATAAAGTGATTAAAGATGAAAATTTCCGCCAGCTTCAAATTTTTGGAAGGAATTTGCAGCAAGATATTAGCAGAATTACTATCTGCAAGTAATATACACACAGGGGAGAAAAAGGTGATGTGCAAATAGTATCACATTATGGTAACTATTAAATTGCAGCACAGGTAGATTTTTGTCTCTACACTGTCATTACACCTTCTGAACACACCTGAGTTTGTTTAACAACAAGACCTACTTAGAGGGTGATTTTCTTTAAAAAAGGGGTAGGTACTTTTCTTATGACAATGTCAAAAATAACTCCAGTGTTCTAACTCCAAACCCCAGGCTGGCTGTATTATTAACTAAGCCAATTAATTGCTGTACACTAAGCCCTGTGTATATCACATACAGCATTTGGCTTCCAGTTACACTTTAAGCCTGTAAGCTGATCTTAGGGATTGCTTGACACCAGAGTTCTTTTCAGCTTGGTCTTTCCCTCCCAGGTTATAACCTATCTTCTGTGGGACCAGGGGAGTGCTCCAGCTGGGGTCCCAGGAGAGCCTCTCACTTTGCCAGCAAACACTGATTTACGTGACAAGCACACTCATTTTTCTCACAGCCACAGGGATGCCTTCATCCCTGGTATTATTATTTTTTGTAATCTTACCTCTACAGAAGATTCAAGAGCTAAGTGATCCCTGCTGGTGGTTAGATTCAGGAAGAAAGTGATGAGCTTTTAAGCAGAGATTTTACCTCAGTCAGTGGCTGTCTTTCCAGCTAAAATATGCCCAGAAGGGTGTGATTTTCAAAAGCTTCAAAAAGCTGGGATGGGCAGGACATGCAATCTGAGAGGGCTGCTCTAAATCTTTGTCTTCTGAGTCTTCCTCAACCTCTGACCTCTCAGTATCTCTTCTGAGGAATTGGGAGTTCTTCTTCTAATCTGCTTTGGCAACACTCTTCTGGCAGGCCCCTGGAGCAAACTTGAAATATCTTTTGGAGATTGAGTTCATCATTTGATCTTTCTATGGTTTGGATTAGTTTTTAACCTTGAATTATCTACTCTACCTGCTTGCCTAAGACTCCCACATTTTCTAAGAAAAAAAATTGCCTGCAGCACAATGTATATAAACCCAGGGGAGATGAATGTCGGCAAATGAGGGCTTGGAGCTAAAGATTTGGGAAAAAAATGTTAGGAAGATCAATGGATCAAGGCTGAAGGATGGGGGTGAGAGAGAGCAACCAAAAGACATGAGGTCACTTTTCAGAGATTTGCTGCCTCTTATAACATAAAGCCATTACATCGTCTGGGGTAAATATTGCAACCCATTACGTTTCCCCTGGTTGTTTCTGCCCTGAGCCCTGCAGAAAGTGTGTTCTCTTCCACTAACTACACACCCATGCCTGTTCACACATCCCCTCACTACCTACAAGGTGCTTTTGTTGCCTTCCCAATGCTACCGTGACATTTATTTCCCTGTTTTCACAGTAATAGCCTGATATGACCAAAGACATGTTCGTAATAACACATTTTTTTTGTTTTTAAACCTGGTTTTTTAGAGCTGGCTCTTACCTACAACCAGTTTATATCCTGTGCTACTGCTGAGTAAGCATCAGAGGAAACTTCCTACAAAATATGTCTGAAAAAGCCACGTGACAGAAACATATCCAAAAGTGCTGTAATGTGAGGGTTCTATTTCTATTAGATTTTATTGGAAACCTTTTGGTTTAATGCACAGGTGAGGATAAGTCCATGCCCAGTTAGCACTGCTTGTCTTTAGCATCAGTTTGTGATACAAAATCATGTCAAAGTCACTCTTAGTTTTCTGAGGCACCTGGAGGTAACTGTGGCTCTACTGATTTAGGCAAAAGTCAGACCAACTTTCAGCAGGGCCAGGATTTTACATTGGATAATTTTAGCAAGAAGAACTGGAAAAGATTTCTGAGAATCAGTCATGTGGAACTGACAGATATACTTTGCTTACAGCTGTCAAACCAAGCTCATGCTCGACTGTGTAGAAGAGAAGTCTCTTTACAAATGGAATTGTGTTTCCATGAAACACACAGACACCCTGCTACTGGACTGTCCTCTCCCCACACACTCCTGAAGCTCTCCACCACCTCTCTGCTGCACTGGGCTCAAAACAACCAGGTGAATCTTGTCTTTTGGGAACAGGTTGTGCCACACCCAGTCACTAGAAGGCTTGCCTGCCTTTTTTTTCTTTTTTTTTTTTTGAGAAAAGTACAAGGAATCTAGTAGAATAATACAGCTGCTGATGTTGAAAGTAGGACTCCAAGACTAACATTCCTGTCTGATTGCCTTTATAAACAGTGCTCAGTAATTTTCCAGTACAGTAGTCATTCTGCTAACAGACTTGCCAACTTTCACTCACACAGGTTTCTTTTTTTCTTTAGTGATTATCATTTTGACAGCTTTTTTTTTTTCAATTTCCCACCAATAAGATCAGCCATGGAACAATGTTTTATAATTTACATATACTTTGGGAAGTTCTTTTTTTAGATGGAAGCCATTGTATTCC